GAAAAAAAGAAAAAAAATTTGATATATAAAGTTTTGGAGTATTGAAATTAACTAAAGCAAAGCCTGTCAAATCTAGTCTTAATGTGCATGTATATGCATTTATTTCAATCCAAGAATGAAAAACATAAATTGCAATTGACTTGGCCTAATTCATGAATAAAACTTACTTGAACGTAAGGTTTTTTGACAACTGTATAGAACGGGAGAAGGATATATTTAAAGAGCCCGTTGACTCATCAATTATAAATGTCAAGTTCTTTGTATAACTTGTCATCGTGATGAATACATGTAATTGCTGTCTTTATTTTACATTACTTTGATACAAACAAAAGCTATTTGATTTCACAGTCCTTAATTGCTCTTTTTGTAAAGTCCAATGGTGCTTCAAAGTCGGTTGTTGTGATGAAAAGTAGCCTTATCTACTATTTCTTTATACATAAATTTGTATTTATTGTATATATGTGTTTGTATTGCATCTCTTTGTCCTATTGTATGTATGTGTCAGTATTGCATCTATATATATTTGTCTTATAAACCCTATTACAAGTAGAGAAACTGATAGCGAACAGCATGGATCCTGATCAGACAGCGCGGATGCGCAGGCTGGCCTGGATCCATGCTCGTCGCAAACGCACTATGTTGGTTTTGTCATGGCGCGGCTCATCTTTGTTTAGTACAATACTAAATTCTGCTTGACGAGTAAACAGCTGGCAAATTAATTGGATAAGGCATTGGCCAAGTCTGATATAGGTTTTTGCAGCTGTCCGTACGAGTCCAGTAGAATCAGTATCGTTCCCAACCATGTTTATGTTTTTTTACCTTATAAAAGAGAATAGTCGGCAATTTGACATGTAATGTAGATATCTTTCTATTTACAATATTACCTCATTAGTGTGCCATGAATTTTAACATGTAACAATACATGTATATTATCACTATTCTCTCTAAATACCAAGTATAATAATTTTGGTAACAAATGAATGTATTCTCGTCATTTCCACTGTCCAGTGATTATAAAATATTTGACAAATTCAACAACATTAGTATTATTTACGAATTCTCAATAAGTTTACAAGACGAACATAGTTGTCATAGGTACAACAATGATATACAATATAATAATATTTGAAGATATTTACGTATTATGAAAATATCGATATAAATACAATGCACACTAACATTCATCCTTCAACAAAGTGATACAGTTAATGATAGTGATGACGATGATGATGACGACGACGACGACGAGTATTATTATTATTATTATTAATTTATAATTATTATTATTATTATTATTATTTTACAGGAAGTACATGTAGGGTTCTTGGATGCCTCTTAAGTTTAAAATAATTAATTAGAAGTATTAGATATTTTGCTTCGAAGTTTATCATTTAACACCTGAAAAATGCCCTCTGACATTCGGTTAGAAAAAGTAAATTCTTTAATTATCAACGAATTGATTTTCAAAATTTGGTAAAAAAATGAAAGTTTAAAGTATATTTATTTTTTGTAATTCTTTATTTATAACAAAAATACCTTTTTCAAAAAGTACACACTTGGTGTACGGAAAAGCACCCTCGTCTTGACTTTTGGAAAAGAAGAATGCCCCAACACCTATAAAAAAGCTTTATTTTTTCTATCATTTGTCGTATTTTGGTATAAAATGATACTTAATAAACCTGTCCGTTGGTAAATACAAAAAAAAATCAAAACAACAACAACTACAAACATTGGTTTGATTAATAAATTATTGGTTGGAGACGCTAGGTTTTGCAGCTGTGTATGAGTCCAATATAATCAGTATTGTGAACAACATTTTGACAAAACTTGTTACTTCGAGTAAAATAAGGATTTTGATATAAATTTTTGGACTCTGGTGGTGAAAATGAGACTAGACGGAGTACAATTGTCATTGATATGGAATTTTGGAGTGGCAAAACTATCGCGGGTGTTAAGCATAATGATTGTTGTGGAATAAGATGCGAAGGATTTGACAGGTTTTATTAATTGCTGCAGCAATTAAAAACTGCATACTATATAGAGACTTATATATTACTCTATGAGTACATTAATTGGCATTCAGGTCTCAAAATTTCACGATTGATTTCATTTTTCTTGCTAACATTGGTCATATTAGGCTAAAATAACATCATCATGTTGTTTTGTTTTTGTTTTTTAATGCTAAATATTTACTGGAGGACGAAATTTACAAATTGAAATAGAAATTATAATAACAACTGGATCAAAATTTAATGACGATCAATATTTGGATAACATTTTAACGCCAAACTGTATAGTATTATCTAGTTCTGGCTTCCATAACTTTATATGGACGTTGCGACAGGTCTAGCAGTACTATAAAACCTGTTCGCTGAAGTCTCTTAACTAAGTATTATCTTGAAAAGAAATAAAAATATGATTGTTTTTCTTCTTCCTAAAATTCCATTTCCATAAGCCATTTCAAGTCCACGCTTAAGTTAATTAATAGTGATTATGAGAAATTTTGAAATTCGGACGACAACAACATGTAGTAATATGGTAAATATTTTATACTCTGCCAAACAAATAAATTGCACTTCCGGGTTGTCCACGTTAACCTATTTTCACGTAATATTCCAAAAAGGTGGGAGTAAATTTATTATTTATTGTCACATATAAGTTTTACGCAATAAGTTTTGAGTGAATTTTGTATTTATGCAAAGCAACAATTTTGAAATCGTATGAAACTATTTTTTTTTTAAATTTTACTTTTGACAACTAAACTGCTAGATTTTTCTAATAAAGCATAATTTTCACAGGGGGCCCACACAGTGTTTGGATGGTATATACTGCTTGATAGTGACCTTAAAATGAGATTTTAGTCATAACCTTATAATATGTATATAAATATAGACAAGGGGCATTACTCGCTAAATAGAGAATTTTCGATCACCCTCAAATTCATGCGAGATTTTCCACTAATTAAATAAAAAATTCCAAAAACTATACTGCGTTGCATAGCTTATATAATCCACAATTGATAAACACTAACTCTTTTCTGATTCCCTTAGCCCATTTAAAGAAATTTATTCAAAACCGTTCACTTCTGCAGTGATTAATCTAGAAATTCCTTACAATGCGTCGGATGACGCACATGTTTGAAAACAATGAGTCCTGTAGAAAAATCCATGAGTCATGTAGCAAAAAAATGCGTCTTTTTAATAGCAGATCCTTGACATGATTTGCATGTTTTTATAACAAGCGATTAAGTAATTAAAGTGCATAAAAACGTATTTTTGGTAACTAATATTAATTGCAGGCAAAACAATTTTTCTTGGCTGCTCAAAATCTTAATTTTCATAAATTATATTTTCTTACTACTAATGTCTAATACTGTGCATTATCCATTTTTAATTGTTCGTAAATTTGCACAAATGTCCTCTCACACTGTATACATACTGACGATTTTTATTGCTCCTTGTATGCCTCTGTGTAGGAAAGCATACACAGACAGACCTTTTGATCATGAAAAAAAGTTCCATGCACAATGTTACCCTGATTGGTTAATCACCCTGTCAAATATTCTGATGACGTAATAGAACATCTTTTTTTATTTACACTATCCGCGTGAACTTGAGTGACCTTAGGGGGGAAATCATTACACACCTGTCAGATTAATACTGTTAACTTACAGCATTTCTTAAAATAGCAACACTTTTTTCAGTTACCGATAATTAATATTAAGTAGATAAATGATTTTTGCTTTATTGGATTAAATTTACGGTAGTAGAAATGCAGTAGTAGGTGGGAAAGGGATTAGGTAAGTAGATAACTTGGAAAAATGCTATAGGGAAATGGATAAACTCAAGAATAGCGTAATACAGGGGAAATGGGTAACCTGTTTGCTGTTGGTACCGTATTTTGTCTGGATGACTAAATAACATACAATATAAGTCTGATGCGCCTTTGGCCATTTGCTGACGATTTTCCTGTGCCCTTCTCATTTTTTAGCGCCAATGTCTGCATATTTCACCATTGTAGGCGAATCGCTCTTACGCAAAATGGACGCTCTGATTGGCTAATGCCGATAATGGGCGGTTACCGATCACAAGCAACAAATGCTTGGGATTTAACGTTTCATTAGTCTTGCACCTGATATCATCGGAAATTAAATTATTCAACTGAAGAAATTGAAAAATTATTCAACTAATAAAATTAAAGTAATCAATCTGTACATAGAAATCACTAATCGTGATATTTTGGATTATAAACTTCCTGATTAGCATGCGTCAGATTGAACGCACATATTTTGAAACTGTGCGTCTTTTTCGATTTTTATGCGTATTTTACGCAAGACGCACATCTAGATTAATCACTGCTTCTGTCACAAAATTGCTTAGTCGTACGAGATGTCGCAACACCAAATTCCACGGGTAAACTATCAATTTTAAAAGGGGTAGGTACAAATAAACGCATGCAAACAATAACACAACATAGTTTCTATTACCTACCTGCGCAAATAGTCGTGAAGCGCTCTATATTCGTCTGTTTCGAACGAAATCTTCAAATCAGAGCAGAAATCTGCTTCGACGTAGACATCTTGGGGAAACCCCGGTCACGTGACCAGCCGGTGTAATCGAGACTTTCATTGGTTCGGTAGGAACTTTGTTATAACGACAACCAATGAAAGGTTTCCATACACCATGAACCAGAATTTCCAACATGTATTCGCCGAAGCAGATTTCTGCACTGATTTGAAGATTTCGTTTCGCAACAGACGAATATAGAGCGCTTCACGACTATTTGCGCAGGTAGGTAATAGAAACTATGTTGTGTTATTGTTTGCATGCGTTTATTTGTACCTACCCCTTTTAAAATTGATAGTTTACCCGTGGGAATTTGGTGTTGCGACATCTCGTACGACTAAGCAATTTTGTGACAGAAGTGAACGGTTTGAGTAAATTTCTTTAAATGGGCTAAGGGAATCAGAAAAGAGTTAGTGTTTATCAATTGTGGATTATATAAGCTATGCAACGCAGTATAGTTTTTTGGAATTTTTTATTTAATTAGTGAAAATCTCGCATGAATTTGAGGGTGATCGAAAATTCTCTATTTAGCGAGTAATGCCCCTTGTCTATATTTATATACATATTATAAGGTTATGACTAAAATCTCATTTTAAGGTCACTATCAAGCAGTATATACCATCCAAACACTGTGTGGGCCCCCTGTGATAATTTTCAAGTCTCAAGTCGATCGATAATTAGAACAGGCTGGTGAAAATACCCCATCGGGCTTATGACATAAAAAATCATATTTCTAGAAAAATAATAAAGATATTTCTTTTAAACTTTGTTAGTTTATTGAGCATAATCAGATAATATTAGTCCTAATTATAAGACCTATACGTAACCTATTTCATATTTATCATTCATTAATCTGATATTTTACATTTTTCATTTTCCATGTTACGTTAGGTCTTAACAGATCTTTGCAAAATCGTGTAGCAAAAAAATTGACATTAGACATCGATTTAGATCTAATGAATTTAAACAATTAAAACAGCGTGTATTTACATTAATTTTGACCTATTTATGAACAAAACTAAAAAATAAATACCTTTAAACAAAATAATTGAACTGTCACAACCGAAAAGTCATGATTAAATCCTCTCATTTAATTAAATTCTTTGTACAGCTGATATACAAATGGCCGCCATACAGTGCGCGAAATCTGATTGGCTAATTCAAATGCAAGCGTTTAAATGACTCCAGAAGTTTCTAACGGAATATTTTTTCAACGAAATAATTGCCCATGCACCGTCAGTGTGTTCAAATATATTTTTCCGTTCAAAAAATTGGAATCAATCTGTAAAACGCTTTACTTAACCAGTATGGCCGATGAGCGAAATAGACTGATATTTATATTTTATTTTTAATTGATAAGTACATTGTTTGAAAGTTTTTGTTAATGATAGACCATGCAATTGAAAGAACAGAAGATAAGCTTTTGAATAAAGCTTGAAAGGCAAGTCAACAGACATTTTTTTAATTTTTCAAAATGCTACGCGTTTTTGAGCAATAACTATTAGACGTAAAGGCTTGACCAACATAAAACTATAACAAGCCTGTAACGTCTAATCTATTGGACTAAGATAATATCTGACATAAACAGAAAGAAAAATAATTGGTTAGATCTACTATCACTTTTTTGAGAACTATTTCCCCTTTTTCATGTTTATGTGACAAATAATTTTTGAAGAACGCGATGGTACAATAGTGAAACTGCAATTGTACGATGGTGATAATGTGATGACATGATGGTGATAATTAATGCGATGGTATGATGGTGAAAACGCGATGGCACGGTTGGTGAAAACGCAATGGTACGATGGTGAAAATGTGATGGCATGATGATGAAAACGTGATGTCACATCACATTTTCACCATCATACTATGGCAATTTCACCATCGTGTTTTCACCCAGCAAACACAAGACGTCATACCGACGTCAGATTTAAGTCAGGTTCTGACGTCGGATGACGGTCGGAAAAACGGTTGGATTTGAAAGTTTTTTTGACGTAATAATCTGACGTCAGGTAGACGTCAGAATCTAACCATTATTTAACCTTTTTCTGACCAAAATCTGACCATTATCTAACCATTTCCCGACCTCAATCTGACCATTTTCCGACCTCAATCTGACCATTTTCCGACCTAAATCTAACCAGTTTCTAACCATTTTCCGACCTCAATCTGACCATTTTCCGACCTTAATATTAACCCTTTCTGCCCTAAATCTGATCATTTCCTGATCTTCATCTTATCATTCCCCTAATCCTTTTTGTTTCACCACGTCATAAATATTTTCTGGCTTATCCTGATTTGATCTAATTTAATGTAACTCATTCTATTAAGTAACTTTCCCTCAAATGAAATGTATAACAGAAAACTAAAAGCAAAAATGTGTTTCATGCTTTTTTAATTTAAGAAAAAGGTGCAATTTTAAGCTGATACATACATACAATTTTAGTAAATTCTGCAAGGTTAAATAATTTTCATACATTAAACAAAATAAAACATAACATAAGTTAATTACAAAACAAAAAGTATTACAAAAACAATGACATAAATGAAACTAAGAAAACATGTACGAATATTAAAGAACAAATCAATGTATGCACATTTCTATCAAAGTTTGCCTTATCAAATAAAACAATGAAAATATTATAATTTTAAGAAAAGTTAAAAGATTCTGATAATAATGTTTCAATCAATTAATGACAGATTTTCAGTACTTTAACTATATTTCTACAGCATTTCTAAAACATTTAGTGCCATTTTGCATATTTTGACCTCCTTTGATAATTGTCAGTAATGTATAAATTGCTGCCTTTTAGTTACTTCACAAAGTTATACTTTTAGATATCCATGAGAATTAGCACGAATTTTGAGGTGTGATGCTTTAAGATATGACCTTCTTTCAGCACCCCTTTGTAGCGCCCAATAGCGTGTGTGACATCATTTTCACTGAAAAAAAAAGAAATTTATTAAACATGTAAAAATAACAAGCAAAAATGTTTTCATGGTTATCTTAACTTAATGAACAATTTTGCCAGCTTTTAATAAGAGAGCTTTAACAAAAATTAAAAGTAAACATAAATACTGAACATTTAAAAAGCCGCTTTTAAACTCCAGTTTAGTATGGATTAAAGTATGTAATAGAATTTACAAAAATCTTACTTTCATATGTTTCTTTTTACATATTCACGTGTTTCCGTCCCTCCGACCTTTGAGAGCATGTCCAACACTTTAACTACCTGAAAAGAAAATTTTATTCTAACTTATGTATATATTCTACGTTTGAAATAGAACGGTTACGCAAGTCTAAAATATTTCATAGTTTTAAATTAAAGATTTAATGCCGAAATGTCTGGAACCAAAACGTCTTGCGTTATTTGGGACCGGAACGTTTTTGGTTATTTGGGACCGAAACGTCTTGGTCCGAAATGCTCGAAATCGTACAAATTCATTCTCAATTCTCAGATTTAAACTGACAAAAACATCACAGTTTAAGAAAAATATGAAATCTAAGCATTCTCTTTGGTAGTACTGAAAGGCATATTATAAACTCTTCACAAGCAGAGTTAAAACATGTCAATTTTAAAAAGATTTATCATTAGGCATTATCGCGAATTTGTGTGACATTTTACTTCAGCTGTTCAAATAATGATAATTATATTTAAGAGTGCTTGCAATCATGCAATTATTTATCAAATACAAAGTAGAAATAAATCTAAATAAATTGTACTGACCTTTTTGTTCAAGAAAACCTATAATATTCACTTATAAATGCATCCCGATTCCTGACCGACAGCCAAAACGTAACGCCTACGAATTTAAATTTCCATCCACGTGACTTTAGATTCGAATTAAAGGTTAATTATGTTTTCTTTCCCTTTTCTGTCACTATGATTAAATGTTAAAGCACTATTAAAAACTCGTCATTTTGATACATATAATGTACCACAAATGATAATATTACAACGTTAAATGATTGGAACTTGTAAACAGATCTGTAGCTATAAATAGATTTCATAACAATAACACATGTAACTTGCGTATATACAGCGCCACCTTTATGTTTTATTAGGTTGCAGCGCCGCGATCTTGGTCTGTATTTATATAACAACACTTCATTTGTAATCCAAATAACATTTGAAAAAAAGTTTAAATGATTACAACAGCGAATAAGGATTATTTTTTGTTATTTTTTTTTACCTACCGTCAGGACACCGACCATAACCTGACGTTAGTACGACGTCAAAAAGAAACGTCTATTAGACATCGGTATTTTAACGTCAGATTTACGTCGTATTTTGGTCGGCGATGTCGTGACCAAAATCTAACATTAATCCGACGTTATTTTAACGTCATGTGTTTGCTGGGCACCATCGTACCAACGCATTTCCACCATTGTACCATCATGCATCACGGGTAAAGACTAAATTTAAAGTAACGATTGTCCAAACGGAACACCGTAAATATCAGAATAAAGATATAGAAATATATATAATTCTATATTTCATGTTTTTGTATTTATTCTAATCTTAATGAAGGAGAAATACAGAAAAATTTGGAAATTCATTTAGAATATAGCTGCTGTTGAGTCTTTGTCAATAAACAGATTTTTTGCCAGAAATTGACACAAAAATAGAGAGGATCTGTGCCATGGTCACTACATTAACTGGAACTGGAAATCAATTTGAGACAGGGTGGTGGGCTAAAAATGCAGGGCATGGAATGGTATGAAGATAGCACAGATATATATATAACACAGGTCAGGTCAAAGATGCTTTGTCCAAAAATGGGCCTCAGTAGGAGGTAGGAAACGCCAAGAAAGAGGGTAGAAATATGGGAATGGACAGTAAATACTTAATACATGTATAAAGGATATCATACCTGACCAACACAATATACATTAACACAAGAACACTAATAAAATATAATAAGTCATGGAGATGGATACAAGTTTCACAAAAAGGATCACTGAGGAGCACATCATATATGACAAAAACTTGGGCTATCTTTTACCTGCATTAGGCTAAATTAGCTTTCACCTATATAAGACATGAAATTAGCATTCACCTATATATAAGGCTAAACTGTAGTTCCTAGAAAACAATTATAGAGCTGAAATTCATGTTGTTATCTGTTATGCATGTATACAGCTTGTGTTTTTGCCTTAAGCTTCATTTAATTACTGATGAAATCTATATCAGAATACAGACATTACGAAATATCCAAATCAATATTTTATATATAAGTAAAAACATTGATATTGTGGTCATAGCTGTATGGTTCAATATTTTTTCTTAGTTCATAAAAAGACTCTTAGCATGTGTGTGTGTATTTGAGTTTATTTATACTTACCACAAGTTGTCCATATGGGTGAGTCCTCCTTGACAGTGTTAGTCATTTTAGATTTTGGAGGATAAGGCAAGATACATAAAAATACAGAAGCTTCTCCTGGTTCTTTAGCATGCCAAGTGTTTTAGCACTCATATGTGGGACCTTGATTTAAACTCTCATCGGAAAGACTGCTGAGTAATTATATTTGGCCAGCCCAGGAATCAGACCCACAATGTTGAGATTCTAACCTTAAAGCAGCATGCCTCCAGATTTTTGCTTATTTTCATGAAAATTTTGAAATTGAAATTAAAAGTATAGTATTATAGTAACCAAAAGGAAGCAATTTACACATTATAAATGACACTTTTAACCCACGTTAATTACAATAAAGGTCAAAATATGCAAAAAAATACTCTTATAATTATAGTGACACATAATGAAAAAGTCACCATTGATTGCTCATAACATGTAAATTATTACTTGAATCTTGAATCAATCTACTTTTCCTAAAATCTTTGTACATTTTTCACAAATTTGATTTAGTGAAATTTTTTCACTTATCTGGAGGCATGCTACTTTAAGCTAAGTTGGCAGGTTATTCTCTCTAGCTTTATCAGTCAAAGTGTACTTATGGTGGACCTTTATCATAAATTACTTCATGCTTAAGTAGTGAGAGACTTTCCATAATCCAGCTGAATAGTTTCTTTAATATGAAAAACTTGAAATGCACATAAATAAAGTAACATACATTTTAAGCTTGTCTGTTTAGAATATAAAGTTGAACTATTATGATGTCTGCGGGGTTGTTGTTGTGCAAAACCTTTGCTGTTGGCCATTATTCAAACATTTTACAAGTACATTTGTAATCAACATGAAACTTGGAATACTTTCTTATCATGATTGTGCAGTTGTAAGACAAAGGGCATGATTCTGAAAGCAAAATGTTTTGAGTTATGCCCCTTTTTGACTAAGAATTTTTAAAACAGACGAGCATATACACCACATGCTGAGCTCTTGTTGTAAAAATGCATCAGATATTAGTACATGTTATTTGATTTAGCAATTTTAAATGTTCTTCAAAATTGTTTTCGTATGACAAAAAATGGCAATTTTCCAGTTTTATTTTATTTTAGATTTATACTATAATGATGATGTTCAATCATTTTTGATATTTATTAACTTATCAGATTAATTACCCTAAGCATCCTCAAAACAGCAATGTAAATTTTCCCTTGATTTATTTAAAAATTTGTATTTAACAAATAAAAACTTCTGTGGGCGCACTCTTTTTGTTTTGTCTCATTTCTGTTTGATAAGATTTCATCATGGCATGTTCATTTGTTGATAATAATCTTTGGCATATTTAATCAGATGGCCTTAAGGAAATTTAATAAGTTAAAATTTGTTATTTCCTATTTATTGTTGATAATAAAACATTAATTAAATACAATGCAAATATAAGTTTGTATAAGTTCAGATGTTTAAGTTTTTAATTTTTGACTGTATTTTCATTATTATAATGTTACTCCTCTTGCAGTGATATCATTTGTTTGTTTTGTGTTTTTGTGTGTGTGTGTGTAAATATTTTGGTTTTTTCTTATAGGAATATTAGGTAACACAGAGTCAAGCTGGTTTCTTTAGTGAGTTGTGTGTTACGAGGACTAACTGCTGCCTCAACAGTTGGACGTATATCTTTACGAAGTATTCATACCTCAAATATCATGGCCAAATACAATGTATTATTTGTACTGGGTGGACCAGGAGCTGGTAAAGGAACACAATGTGATCTTATAGTTAAGGTAAGAGTGCTTTAATTAAAGATAAGAATGAACAATTGTTGTAATCAAATAAGTATTTAATTTGTTGTAAATGTAATTTCTGACATCAAGTCTGTCTGAAAGGCAAATAAAAAAGAAAGGCAAATTAAAAAAATAGTTATGTTTCTTAAGAAAGATTGTATGTTTTTATTTTATGTTTTATGTAATTTTATATACATAGTTTAAAGCAAAAGATTTTGAAAAGAAAGTACTAAAGCAAAGAGTTAGGGTGCAGAAGGGAGACTGGAAACAAAATTCTTTTTTTTTTCTTAATAGTAACAGGATTTTTGAATGAATTTATTAAGGTAAAGATGTAAACCTAATATTAGAATGATGACCTGATATGATAACTTTTTCATGAAATAATTTTCTATTATGATTTATACCACTTGTTTTAATTACTACAGAAATGATAAATCTTTGATACAGCTTTAAAAAGTGACATTTTTAGCTTCAAGCTTGCACCATGTAGGTGCATAAATGCAGTGAAGTTTATTAATAATGTATTCATTGAAGGTTCATTTTTTCATGTTTGATCAATATAAGTAAATTCTGTCATTGTCTTTTCTTTAGAATTACGATTATAAACATTTGAGTGCAGGGGACCTTCTGAGGGAGGAAAGACAAAGAGCCGGGTCACAATTTGGGGAGGAGATTGAGGGCCATATACGTGCTGGTACCATTGTACCAGTAGAAATAACTTGTTCCCTGCTTCAACGTGTAAGTTTAAAAAATATCATTTTTCATCTTCTTATTTTATTGCCCATCATTACTATGGCCTCTGACTGTAAATTCTTTCATGTGAGGAAATAGCTGGGACAAGTGTCAGGGCAGGTAACTCTGAACTTCATTATTTGATGAGCTGTCATCACACAGTTTACATGTACATCACATATCAGTATTGTCACCTTTGTGCAGTAACAGCTTAACTCCTTTAAAAATCATGAGGGCTTGCATGTAAGTGCAGGGATATTTTTTGGCTTATTTTGTATTATTGGGTCATATCCCCAATTGAAAGTTACAAAATAAAAATATTGAATATTGAATTCTCAAATCTTTGAAAATAAGAGCTTCTTTACTGTAATAGTGCTTAAATGTTTTAAGATGCCATCCTAGACAGTGATTGTTTGCATTCATTTAATCACTTTATTCACTGCAAAATTTCAGTCATGCATTTTTCCCAAATTTTTATCAAAGCATCGCCGAAATTCCCAATTCCATGGATATGGATCATGTTCTCAAAGTTCTGGAAAAAATCCCTGAAGTGGCAATGAAAAAAGCAGGCTGTCATGTAGAAAGGTCTTTTGTAAGCAAACATAGTTTCAAAATTTAAATATTTTGGGTCAAAATTTAAAAAAAATGAATAAGAGACAGATTTACGGGTGCAAGAAATGGTCGTCTGTAAATGAAAATAAAATGGTGTTTTTAATTCTGATTACAAGTTTACATATAATAAGATGTATATTTAGAAGGTTAATTTTTTATTCAGGCAATGGAAGATAGTGGCAAAAAGAATTTTTTAATTGACGGTTTTCCAAGGAACAAAGATAATTTGGATGGATGGAATAAAGCAATGGACGGTGTGGCGACTGTAAGACGTGTGTTATTCTTTGATTGTCGTGAGGATGTAAGTAAATATAAATTAGGCACATTATGCCTCATATTTTCATTATAAAGTTTAGCTGAATTGACTAAACATTTCAAAAAAATAAAATGGACTGTTAATTATAATAGTGATTGACCAACAGTTTGATATTGGAAAATGGTTGAGATAAAATATGATTCTGCCAAAAATATAAAGAGACTGCTCCACTCTTTTTTTAAAAATTGAACATTACAGGTAAATTCTGATTGATATTTACAGAAATTTTGTTGGGCCACTTAAGTAATTTTTTCTTCATGCCAAGTAAATTATAAAATTGAAAGGTATTATTATTGATATCTATTTCCTAAACAACAGAGCAAAATAACAGATCATTTTGTAATATTTGTAGGTGTGTGTAGATAGATGTCTAAATAGAGGTAAAACAAGTGGCAGGTCAGATGACAATATGGAAAGCTTAAAAAAGAGGTATTTACATTCTTATATGAAGCATTTTAATACTAAAAAAGTGTCACAAGTCGACACAAGTTCTTTATCATTACTATTCACTTTAATTAAAAAAAAGATATCATTCTTCCATGAAGCATTTTAAAAAGACAAAAAAATAACGAATTTACACCAGTTCTTGATTGTTATAACTCTTAACTTTAATCTCAAAAAGGGACACTGTTTTATCTGTAAGGAAGTCTGCTGTTTGCTACATTGAATTATTTAAGTAAAAAGAAGTATTTATACATTTTTTCTTTATCAAAATATAGTAGGTATTATGATATCTATATACCCTGAATTACAAGTAGACTGTTCCAAATTCAAAGCCATATACACCTGAATATTCATAATGGACATGTCCTGTTTTGAATTTGGAATCACCCATTGTTAATAAGAGGGGTTTTGATATCTGAATGCTGAAATTAAGATTGCAGCAGTATAGAGTCTGGTTATAGTCAAATATACTAGTCTCCATTGTGCTAGACTCCAGTGTTTGTAAATTTACAAATTAATAGTGTATGAAATATCAGTGCTTTTGTACTTTTATTCCTTTTCTTTCTCAGGGAAAACAAATTTTGTCTTATTATTTCAGAATTTACAAAAAATCTTTTGTTTCCTTGTTTCAGAATTCACACATATAACAATTCAACAATGCCAATTATAGACCATTATAAAGCTCTAGATTTAGTGAGTCATTTACATGCAGAAAAAACACCGGATGAAGTAAGTTATATTCGCTTATCACTCATTTGATACCATAGAAAAGAATAAGTACATTTCTTTTGTTCTAGTATCCAACAGAAAAACAACATTAGGAACTCTACATTTTATCTTCTTTTCTGCCCTTTATAGCAACAGGGGAGCTTATATTGACTTTTACTCAGCAATTACTCCTGTAGTGGTAGACATTTCTTGTGATATCATTTGTGTTGAATATCGCAGTATTGATTTATCAATTGATACAATATTAATTTTCAATTCAGAATATTGATACAATTGTAAAACCCATTTCTTCATGTCTTGTGAAAATATCACTCTATTTTGTGCAAAGAATAACTTTTCTCTTTGCCTTGCCTTAAATTTGAACACTAGATTTAATTTTCAAAATTCTTTAAGATATCATAACAAGTAAACATTTCTTTGTTTGGTATTCTGTATTTGTGATGTATGAAACCTGCTTGCATACACCATGATAACAGTTTAATAGTTACAAATAATTAATGTACAAGCTATTGAATTGGATATATTGTTGATATTCAAGATTTGATATATCAATACAAAATTTTCCATCAATGACAGCCGTTCTTGTGTTTGTGTGCAAAATCTTTGTGCAAAATGCTTTCCTGTGTGTATATATAAAATAAAAGATGCAGCATCATTTGCTGGCCACAATTTAAAGAATGTAAGCTGATTATAGTAGGTGCCCGCTCATGCCCGAAATAATGCACAGGTCACCATATACTTCTTCCTCTACCAGTGGTAGCTGGAAAATTGCAATATTTCAGTTAGTTATGACGTGACTGAGAATTAGTTAAATATTCAGCACCATTTGATTTAAAGAGTGTAAGCTGATTTACATGGCTGCCCACTCATGCCTGAGAAAGACAGAGGCGCCATAGTTCTTTCTCCACCAGTGATAGCTGGAAAAATGCATCATTACTGTTAAATTGTTGAGGTGACTGAAAATTAACTCCAACAGCTACTTATTTGAGCAATAAAATTTAGGCATTTACTAGAAGCAGGCAGATGCTTGCAAAATATTGGTACTAATAAAGTTATTCCTGGCCTGGAGGTTATAAAACTTTTTTTCTGAGTTCTGTCCCAAATCTGAGGAATTTCAACAGTCACTGTCAGTGTACAATTTGTAGCAGTTTTTGACCAATCAAATACCTAAGATCTGAGCTTGAGCTCAGGGAATTTTTTTTGTACATTTTGTAACTTTGGACCCTGGAGCTGATTTTTATCATATTCTGAACTAAGTGTACAAATTGGAAATCAGATATCTTATATAAATTTAATTATTACTATTCTAAAAATAGCATATCTCAAAATATAAAATAATGTTTATTTTTTACTTACAGGTTTTTGATGATGTAAAGAAAGTTCTAGATGAGTTGAAGTTATGAAGGACTTAGCGCTGATTTATTTATATATTTTTTCTTATCAAATGTGGGACTTTTAATATGTAGTATGATGGTTTTTAAAAAACTTTTTATTAGCACTCGTACACACATTGTGTAAAGGTAGAAATGTGTTGTTTAAGAGCTTTTTATAACATATGCTACGGAATGTCTAAATCTACCTCTCCCCGTCTATTTAATTCTCTCCATGCATTCTGATGACAAAGTGAACAATTCAATATATTGAACTACTTTTAAGTTAGTAAAACTTCCTTGTCCTTTGGACAATAACAATATAAAATACATCTGCCTAGATTTCAATAAGTTTACTATATTGAATTAGTTCAATATTCATCTAGATGCAAGAACATTACAATATAAAAGTAGCATAGACAAGTCAGTATTGCAGCCAGCATTCTAAAACAGTTAAAGTATTAAAACACAGTGTGTTTGCTTTACAAACCAATGCTGGACTCTATATATTACATTGTAATTGATAGGAAAACAAGTCAGGAAAAAATATATTACATATATACATGTTTTGTAAAAGTTTTTTTTAATCGAGCTTATGTATTTTATGTTGATCCATTACAACCAAGTGCTTTCCTATTTTAATCAGGTTCAGTGCTTTTGAATCTTGAAAACATTGTTGTGGGGGGGGGGGGGTAATTGATGCAATAAAGTGTGTCCCACCTTTGTGAATATATACAAAGTTTGCTGTGTAAAAATACATTTTTGTACAGTTAAATGGTTAACACATACATGACAGTAACTACCATTGAGAAAAGAGAGAATTTTGAAAATATGGAAAAGAGGAGAGCAAAAAATTAAACTAAGTTTTTGTTAGAGATAATGGAAAGTGCATCATGTCTCACAGCTAAAGAAGTATTCAGTCTTTAAAGCAGTATTCAATCTTCAACCAGGCTGAAGTCAGGCAGTACATGTTTACCTTTGATAGGAGTTTAGCATTGCTGGATCAGAATAGGCTATTTACATAGACCCAGTATGGTCACAGATTAAAGGTTTATGTTACTTTATCTCCATGGCTGTAGGTTTGAATCCCTCTTGAGAGAACTGAGATCATGTTGATAAGTATGTGTCTGACCGTAGTTTCCTGAGAGGAAGATATCCAGCTAAGTATAACACAAGAAGGTGGATATAACATGCATGTTTTAGTGCATTAAGTGTATCTTGGTTTGTTCTGCCATCAATGAAGCTGGCATCTGGTTACTTGATTTACTGTTGTGACTGTAATGTAATTCTTCATTATGCACAATTTTAACCCTGGCTCTCCCACCCTGGGACGAAAGTGATGACGTGGATCGTTGTAACCCAGGCAAATCTCAAGAATTATGGGGAAAGAGTGATTTCCCCTCTAAATTCCTCAGAACTGCAATGTTTCCCCGCCAGAACAATTTCGCCACATTAATCAGAGTTCAGCCATAAGGTAAATAAGTGGCTCAATGGTCCCACTGTCTCCCAGGATTGTGGGTGGTGTTTGGGTCCCCACAATATACTAGGTTTGGGAAAGGGGGCTTGGGTCCCCACTATCTCCTAGGAGTGGGGTTGGCGGCATGGGTCCCAACTGTCTTCCAGGAGTGAGGGAGGCTCCAGGAGTGAGGGAGGCTTGGGTCCCCACTATCATCAAGAAGTGTGGAGGGGCTTGGGTTACAATTGACTGATGCATTACTAATTTCAAAGGCACATAACTCTTTATCTTTTTATCTCAATTTTAAACCCCATTTTTGTAAGCTTTTTATAGTTGATTTTGTTAAGAAACATTGTTTCACAAGCTTAGTTGATTTTGTTAAGTATGTTTTTTCACAAGCTTATTGCTTTTGTATTATTTATTTGTAAAAATTATTAATTACACTTAACGAAACTTATAAGTACTCCGACCAATTTTTTATTATATTGTGTTAGAATAACTATAACTAGTCTAAGTCGATACTGTATAAACTTTAATGATAGTATCATCATTTTATAATAGTAAATGCATTTTACAATAACTCAAACTTAACAGAAAATCAGTAACTGAGAACACCATTGTAAAAAAATCAAATACCTTCAAGTTTAGTATATATTTTTAAAAACCGGAGTTTTCCTGCAAGTTTGAAATCGGAGTACTTATAAGTTTCGTTAAGTGTATATGAAGAAATCTGAAATGTTTGAAGAACATTGTAGATGCTTAGAATTGTTTATAGTAATACTATTCAATGTATTTTTTCCAATATTTTGATTCGTTAAAGTGGGATAGCTTTGATAGGTAAATGATACTACTTAGTAATTTGTTAGTAGTTTGTTTAATAGTAAAAAATTAGTAGTCAACTGCAAATTCTATAATTCCCTTTAATATACCAACATAGTAGTTTGTTAGAAGTTTTGTGAAACATTTTAAAGTATTTTTTTTTATTATATTCTTTTAGTAAGATTATAAAGTATGTATTCTTCACAAAACAATGGGATATGTTAGTGATTGATGAAATGAAAATAGAATGAATAGTAAAAATGAATCTTTGGCTTTGTTGTTTATTTGTACACAAGTTTACATTCTATCAAGCTAGCTTACAGAACATTGGTGGTTCCCCTCAGGTGCCATTCGTGCCTGAAATAATGTATGGAAGGGCATCAGTTCTGAGGTTTTCATCCACAAGTAAAGCTGGAAAGTCGCCATGTGACCTATACTGTGTTGGTGCGACGTAAAACCCAATCAGATAAAAAATATTTCACACCTTTAGTATTCTTAACAATTATACAGGACCAATATACAGGTCTAGTATTTGTTATAACTACTATATAGGTATATATAAAATTGTGTTATTTATACTAAATATGGAAATTTACTTGATTTTTAGGGATATACTCCAGCTGGTGGTAGTATCAAATCACAACTAACAAAGAATTTCAATGTTTGGTATTGGATAAAAAAAAAAAAATCTTGAAAACTAGGTATTAAAAAGTTTTTAAGAGGCCATAACTAAGAGCAAAACAAATGGAAATAGATAAAATATTATGTGAATAACTTCCTTATGGAAATAAACATTGATGAAAACCAGGAGACAAATTTTCCTATAAAAAATGCCCATTTCAAGTTGCAAAGGACCTTAACTCTATAATGCGCCACCAGATCTTGATGAGCATCGTTTCCTTATTTTTAATATAAACATTAATGAGTTTTATTACTATCTAACCAACCAATTATCAAATATGTCTTGATAATTTCAAGGTAACAAAGGGACGTAACTCATAAACCCAGTAGTGGATTTTGGTGACCCTCATTTCTTTACCTTTACATTCCTGCAAAGTTCAAAAAAAATTGGATGAACCAATCCTGGATGAAAGGCAGACCACGCCATACTAGTGTCATCCTGTCCATTTTTATCAGCCGGCAATAATGAAGCAAAATCACAATGACGGCTAGGAGCAAGAGGTGATTAACTGAAGGTGTAGAGAGTAAAGTACTGGACCGCTTAACCCAGAGGTTGTAGCTTTGGGTCATGCAAATGGTGGGATTCTCTATCCAAACTAACGGAAGATGTTGTCTGGCTCTACTTATTATAACTTTTAATAAAGAGCATAAACCTGTATTTAATGAAACGTTTCTATACAATTTTCAAACAGTAAATTTGTTGTTTCCATAACCCTAAGGATAAACTCAAAAGAGTTGTAATGTAGTATGTTTCTGTTATTTAACACTTATGAATATTGTACAGAATAAATCATTCTGGAACATAATATTATTCTGCAGTAGGATTTCAGCCGTTTAGCAATGGTTGTATCCATGCAACACTTGTACTTTGGGAAAAGTACTAACATACTTCATTCATACAGGCATTTTGGACTTGTTTTTTTTTCAAAACTAAAACAATATTTTTGGAGTCTGTTGGTAGCAGAGACTTATTAACATTATAACTATTTAGTAATTACTGCTGTAGAACAACAAAAATAAAATTCCTGCATAGTGGAAGTCCTTTTGTACACAAAACATGGTCTCTTAAAGTCTTTGTACACAAGAATATCTATATGCTACAGTAAACATTAATGACCAAATGTTTTTTCTCAAACATTGCAAAAACAGCAAACCATCTAGCTGAAAATTTATTTAACATTTTTTCTGAAATAATTCATCAACATCACATAACTATGTTTCTAAGATTAGCAAATATGTATGTTATCTTTTTTTGTTCTTCTTGGTCATCTTAATATTACTTTGCCCCGACATAAGTTCATACATATTTTGGTACTGTGCATAAAGTTTATCATCTTGTTGCGTTCCTGTGCCTGTTTTATAAGCGTCTGCAACCATTTTACAGCCACTTTTATATCTAAATTCACATGCTCTAAATGCATACTTAAACATTAATTCTGGATCATGTTTCACACGAGCTATATCTAGACCATCCCTGTATATCTGTGCTGCATGTAAGCAAGCAAACCCATCCTTTTCACAACCTTTCTTAAATAGTTCAACTGCCTTCTTTGGGTTTGGCTTACTGAGAACGTTTTTGATCTCAGGTTCAAGGGTATCTTTTAAATACTGCATTCCAATAGTATCGCAGCAGCCACCATTAAAATTGTTCACTTCACAGCCTTTTTTATGGGCTTTTGTTGCTTCCTCAACATTCTTTTCCCCTGAAAAATGAGAAATAAGCTATCATTAAGTGGATCTGGATCATATGTTGATTTATTCTGTTTGGTTTAACAGCACATCAACACAATTAAGGTCATATGGCGCCTAAACAGAAAGATCATTTTGGCAAACCTTGGGTATATCAAAATTTAAGCAACTACATAAGTCAAACCACCTTGCCTGCTGACACTAAGAGATGCAAGGACTCCAGTAATTGGAACCCAATTAGTCGTCTGTTACGATCACGCAGGCATAAACAGTGGCAGCAATTCTTAGGCCTCAACCTCCCAGCTATAAGGATAATCATAATTTGAAAACCTTGACTAAGGAGCATATCATATCAAATATCTCAACTCAAGGACTTAATATCTGTAATAGGTTATTTAAGAACTCCCTAGCCATAGCTTTGGCTGCTGGTGTTTTATTGTTATTAAATGTTTTGTATAATTGACTTAAAAAAATCTAGAATAGAATTGTAATTATGCAATTGATATAAAATCTGCTGGCTTTGCCCTATTTCAGACTCAAAACTCTACAAAGCATGATGGTGATCAGGCCACTAAAAGTCTACTGGTGATATATAAGTAAAGTCTACAAACTAGCCTTACTCTACACTTGTTGCATAGACAAATCATTATCATTGAGAGCATTCAAAAGTAGTCGCATTTTAGAACAAACTCAGCATGTATCTTACTTCCCGTTCCATGGAATGCCATTTGGCCGGCTTTAAAGCAGCTGTCTCCATAGTCTCTTTTAAAACAATTTTCCATGTACTGATCATACGCTTCAACTAATCTCCTCTTCTTTGTTTCAAAGAAATCTGCAAGTTTGTGGCAAGCTACAAGAAAAACCAAATGCATTTCCGGTTAAGATTTTCAGGCTATACATTGCGTACATGTATAACAACAATAATAAATATTACTTCTCTCTCCCTATTAGGCCTGCCAATGCAAATATACATGTATATGTGAGTTTGACTGCCTTACATATCGTACATTATAAAGTCAGACTAAATAGTAATTTACTTTTAAATACCCTTTATTCATAGATTACAAGAGCCAAATGTTTTATTTATACACTTGTGAAGATGAATTTCAATATAGCAGGGGAGTAAGTGACATGATAGAAACGTTCACTAACTTCACTACAGAAGAGATACAGAGATAGGAAACTTCCTAGCCAGTTAAGATATCATGCGTGCTTGCTAAACTTTAAACTTGTAGCAGGTAAAACTTATTAACCAGAGATCAATATCAGTAAAATAATACATTTTCTGAAAGCTTATACATTTGTCTCTGGCTGCAGATAAAAAACATTTACAGTTTCATTTAAATAAATGATACATCAATTTTTAAAGAGAACTACTTATTGATTACAAAACTATTCATATGATGAAAAACCTGGCTCAGTTGGTATGTTCTGCTATGTTTTTTTAAATGAAAGGCATGGAAATTTACCAATATTTTAGGAAGAATCTCAGGCCTATACGGCTAGCGAGTTAGCCATACGTGTGTCATGTACAGCAAGCCAGGACACACTGTCTTCTCTAGCCGTATGGTACTAACTACTTTTCAAAATTATATGAAGGTCAAAATTGCATATGTTATTTTTTGTCTTTAAATTAGGATTTTAACCAAGAAACATTCCTGTAATAAACGTCTCTTTTCCTCCCCCCCCCAACATTTCTGTTATAAAACGTCTCTTTTCCTTTCCCACGTCTCTTTTCCTCCCCCCCAACATTTCTGTAATAAACGTCTCTTTTCCTTCCCCCCCCCCCCAATGCAAGTAGATCTACTTTCACTTTGCACTCACCTTGAAAAATCAAAACCTACCATGGGAACGGCGGACTAATCAGAATCACCTTAATATCAAAGAAATTATAGCAAGTACAAATACATTAAATTACTAAATTTTAGAAAAACATATGAAAGAGCTCCATACAAAAATTATGTAAATAACCTCATGACTTGAGCTGTTCTAGCCATGGCATGGGTTTAATACTCGCGAACTCTATTAAATATAACCTTTTGTACAATATCTACCTTCTGCGTCATTTCGCTCTTTACAATGAAATGTGTTGTTTTTCTCTAGTCTTTCGTAGTAGTGCTCAACTAGCTCGTGATCACCTCTGGGCATTCTGTCAGCCTGCAGTGGAGGTTGTTGTTGTTGTTGTTGTTGTGCTACACACTAAATACTCCGCGTTAGTATTGCCGAATAATGAATCGTTTCACCCACAAAACATTTCAACCCTTTTGAATTCGCCCACTTTTTCTTTCTTCCCAACCAATTTCCATATTTGTTCAATTTTGTTATTTTATGCAGGTAGTTTTTCTTTCATTCTTAAGTTTTTGGAACTTGGGAACTTTGCAACAAAATCCAACGCAATCTTGTGAGGGTCGACCATCACCATCTGACACCCACTAGTAACCTGAACTTCCTAAGACACAATACCACTCCTATTCATTTTTCCCCAGAAGTATTCGTCTGTGGAATGGCCTACCCGTGTCCTTACAAGCTAGTACCAGTTTAGACCTCTATACTGGACGGCTGCATCCTTTTTACCAGTTTTAAGCCAGCTTTGTTTTTAACTTTTATCTCAGTCTTGTAGCTCTTTTTAACTTGCTTTTACCTTATGTCTATAAATGCACTTAACAAATTTGTTTTAACAGCTATTCCTAGACAACGCGCCTGCTTAGTGTAATCGATTACGATTTTGAAGTAGTATAATGTAGATGTAGACTTTGTTTGAGTCTCTTATAAGAATGTTCATATTTTAAGCCTCAGACCCATGCTTTATAGATATACAGTATGCTTTTCATCACGGTTGTGAGTATATAAATTAACATAAACATGCATTACCTCTAAAATTATTGTCTCTTTTACCATGGTTTTCTATAACAAACATAATTTCCTAAGCTTTTTTCAACATGGCTTCATGTCAAAACATAACTACCTTCCATTAATGTAAAACCCCTCTCGGGGACGTAGACATGTTAACTGTGAAATCCAGCCCAGGAAGTTCATGACAATTTAGAGCAAGGATAGCAGACTGATATTACAGTCATGGACTTCAGTAGAGCATTTGATAAAGTCGACCTTCACAACTTCCTCCTTGAACTGCATAGATCGACTAGATCTAGGTGTTAATTAACACTGAGGTCATCTCATTGACTAGGTCATTCTTATATGGTTGCACCAAACATGTTGAATTGTTCATTGATCTACCTGTTTTCTCGGATGTTATTGGGACCTTGCCTCGATCTACTTGTCTTATATTAATGACCCCACTGTGGTAGTGTCGAGGGTAAAGTTAGACTATTTGCAGACGACACAATATATAGTCGATCTGATTGGTCAATGGCTTATGCAGAATTCAACATTTAATTAATGAAATGTTAAATTTTTTAATTTAGAAACATATGCAGACGCGTTTAAACGGCAGTTATTGTTATAAAGAGAAAACAATCGGCGAAACGAAACAAAAAAAAAAGGAATTCGGAAGGAGGTCAGAGGTTATAAAAACTTCCGTATCATAGACAAGACAGGGGGAATTTACAACGTAGACAACATATCATAATGGTGATTACACTGTATTCAAGTAGGAATACTGAAATCAGAGAAAATTAGAGAAAAACAGCTAAAAAGAAGAGAGTAAAACAAACTCAACAAAAATGTGCTGATGGGAAATATAACATCAGTCGACGTTAAAAACGTGCAAAACTACAAAACATTTACAATATCCGTTATAAAGATTTTGACAGATTAAATGACCCTATATAAATTGATGTTTGTATATATTGCAAATAACCGTTTATATACGTCATGTAACCTGTCAAGAATCTACATCTATGTCATTTCAAATAAACTTCTAACACCATTCCAATCAGGGTTCATTAAAAGGGATTCAACAATAAAGCAGCTAACCTTCTCTACAATGATCAATTGAAAAGTGCGTTACGTCAAGTTAAACCCTAAAAAAATACATAAATGGTATCGGGCCCACCGCACTGCGTTGCAATCGAATCCACCGCCGTCTGCATTGAAAACATTTGTTGTCATTTATTTTATATACAGGCAGTAATAATTTCCCAAATTTCCAAAATATGGTTATTTTGTGAAAGTATCATTCATACGATGTGATGCCGTTGTATTATGGGGTCGTTTTGCACACATGTGTACGTGTTTTAACCAAAATTAGGCAAAAGTGGCGTACCCTCGTCAAACTGCATAAACGGTAATAAATTGAACCGTGTGCGTGCAATAAGTTGAAAGAGTAGATATGTGGGCTCCAGTCTCACAAAGAGTTTCCAGTAAAACATAAAACAAAATTCATTCATATACTTACGGACATATTTTATCCACCGCTTCTGCGACGAATACTCCATCGCTGCTGCGATGGACCCCCCGATTCTAGGAAAGTTATGGCCTGGCCAGTGTACTAGTCCAACAAATTGTTTTATTATGTATACAACATACAACGATCTCCAACAGTTTGTAAAATCTGTGGTCTTGGAATGGCACTTACGTGTCACATTGAAGGTTCCATGATAACCGCCATATGAACACATCTGCGGATGTTTCAAAAATTGTACCAGTTCATGTTAAATGTTGAATTCTGCTTAAGCCGGTGCTAGGGGGCGTGGACGGTAGTTTTCACTTGACAGTACCGTCCATGATCAGGCTCAATCAAACCGAGCCTGCAACATTTTCAATTTTGCCGTGTTGGGCTTTCTTTAGGGATTCTTATTTTCTCTATTTCAGTTACATCCTGTACGAGCGTGTTTTTGTTTTTGTTTTTTATTTGTTTTTTTTTTGGTTTGGTATAAAGGCATATTTGTGGATAGGAGCAAACAATACCCAGAACAGAACAGAAGGTTTATTTAGTCGTATGCATGGTACAGCATATAGACATACACAAGCAATATGCGGTCTCAATATCAACAAGCATTCTATTTTGTAAATGTTTTTACCTACCTACCTTCCATTTATATCAAACCCCTCGCGGAGACGTAGACATGTTTGCGCGACAAAATCGCAAGAAAATAAAAAAGAGTTGTTAAACAGTATTAAAGAAGAATATTAATCAAAGCACAGAAGGCGCTGAATTTGTTTGGGTCTCAGAATGTAAGAAAGGTACAGGTTGTGAGATTATATGTATAGTGCCACCAATGCTTTCCAGCGTTTTAATTGTAGTAAATTGGCTATAAGACTAATTGCAACACTGATATTCAATCCAATGTTTATTTGACTTAAACAATTTGGAAAAAAATGAGTTGCCTTTACTGGGATTTGAACTCCAGACCTCTCGCTTCCTTAGCGAGCGCGAAAACCCTTCAGCCACGGTGAATTTATATGTGAACGGCCTGAAGAAAACCATATTATTCTAAATTAGGGCTTGTAACGACTTTAACTGTTGTTTAACACAGATGTAAATAATCCTGGAGCTTACTATAAGCATGTATATTTATAAAGAATCAAAGGGCTGCAAGTTCTGTGGTATTTTCTGATCTTTGCAATCTAAATCGTACTGTATATCTGTATGTATTTTCCTGTATAAATTTATTTTTATGTATTATAATTCATTTTGCAAGTCACCAGAGTTTGATACATACGTAATTCTGCATAACTAGAGTTGCATCAAAATATCATTTATGTTCATTTTTTACGACAGCTACACTTTATCCTTGCATATCATGGCTACTTCCTTAACAAAGACACTTAAAAAGAATTAAAAAAAAAGTTTTCTCGACTGGGATTTGAACTCCAGACCTCTCACTCACTAAGCGAGCGCGTTACCCCTGCACCACGGAGATTAACAAACAATGCCTGAATAACATCAAGTCATTCTAAATTTAGAACTTCCATTGCATTTCGGGTTGTAATCCTTATTAATTTCGAGGTATTTTGTTCAGGATAAACCTGTTGTTTAAAATTGAAGTAAATAATTTAGCAAAATCTTCTCGCCCAAACAGTCCGACATGTAGAATCTATATATTCCACTACTCGGTTTGTGTAGTATTCGGTAATCGACATCGCTAAAAATAGTATTTTCATTGATAAAATCATATTCATCCGCGTAATTTGTGATTGTGCATTTATTGACAATTCTATAAGCCAACGCTATTTTCAAACTTTGAATGCGTTGTAATTTGTTGGATACTTGTAACAAAATAAAAATATTTCTTTCTTTTAAATCGCTAGTTTTAAGCTGTTTTGAAAACTACTTGTTGTTAGGTTTGTCGTAAATTTCTGTGTCAGAGATTGAATGTCCGCTTTGTATTTACTTATTTTCGATCAGAAAATACAATAAAACAATATTAGAAATCTTCGACCATTCGGGAATTATGTTGCTTGAAAATTAATATGCCTGTCTTTGACCATCTTTACGCAGTGATCTCCCCTGAATTTTTCGGCGTTAGTGTACATATAAAGGGAAGTAACCGCTTCAAAAATGTGGACTACTTTCGGCATTTGCAATTAACAGCATTAGACTCTGAATTTTCGCTACCATTATTTGTTTGGTCTGACGACCCAAACAAATAAAAATGATAAAAACAGGGAGCTGGAAAACTATTGTGAGACATGTTCAATGCACGCTATGGCTGCACTGAACTGCTCTGGTTTAGTAAGTAGGGCAACTGCATGAGCATGAGCTAGGTAGGTGGTTCCAGTGGTATACCGTCCTAGAAAAGAAGGTATGATGATGCTGTGAATAACCTTTAACACAGGGGATGGTCACGCGGCGTGATGTTCGGGAGAGGTGTATCACATATTAGCAACCAGACCATGGTGAATCTTATAGAAAACCGATAAACTAGCATCTATGCGTCTGAGTTCCAGTTTTCGAAAAGCATGTCCGTAACGCTAGAGGCCTGACCATAATCTAGTTTGATCCATCAAGCACATTTTCAATTTGATCTATTTGTATTTTGGTGTGGGGAGACCATACTTCGGAACAATTTTCAAGCTGGGGTCTGACTAACGTCTGGTAGGCAATTAATTTAATGAATTGGGATTTAACCTTAATGTTTTTGCGCAGAAATCCTAACGTTTTGTTTGCTTTCTTGGATGTCCTGTTTAAGTTGGCATCCCATGTAAGGTTTTCTGATAAATTCACGCCTAGGTATTTAACTGAGGTAACCGATTCTATGAGAGCTCAATGAAGGTAGTATTGAGTTGGGATAGGATGTTTCCTTTTTGTGA